TTTTTCACTTAACATTATAACATGAGCTTATTTCCAAATAGCCATTAAATGTTTTAGTTTTAATTTGCATGGCTGGCTTTCATCCTGTGGCTGTAATGTTATTTATGCATTTCTCTTATTGTTCAAATGTATTTAGTTTTCATAAAACGTCTCCATATTCCACATAAAGTGGGAAAAGTGTCTTTGCAGGCAATGTCTGTGTCTTTGTGCTTCTTCCCCGGGATGAATGACCAGGAGGAGAATTGCTGGGGTGAGGGAGGGGAGGGCACGGAGGGTTCCCTTTCCAGCAGAGCCTCTCCGGGAAGATCAGACCTGTTTACACCCCACCAGCAGAACCAGGGGGTGTCCCTGGTGTCCTGCTACAGAACATAGGGAATATAATGATTTTCAAGTTGCTGCCTCTCACAGAATTGTCTTGTTTTTAAAAGGATCATTTTTAAAGGAGTGACCATTGTATGTGACAATGCCTTTGCTAGAAAATTCTGGAAGAAAGAGTGGTGAGCGATGCCCGTTTCTTCCTGCGAGTGATCTCGTTCACTCAGCGTTAGAGGAGCGCCCAGGCTCATCCTGGGAGTGGTGTGTGCTGTAGCTGAATAAAGGAATGGGCCACCAGGCAGAGGTGATGCTTCCTGCCAGGCAGAAAGCAGAAAGTACTAATCTCGTGCCCCTCGAGGGGTGTCAGGGCCTCTTGTTCCCAGCACAGGAGCCTGCAAGGGGAGCTGAGTGGCCAGACCCCAGAGCCAGCAGGCAGAGCCGCAGTGCAGGCCCCAGGGCGTCATGAAGCAGGCAGTCCTGGTGCCCTGGCGGGGCCACCCGGCACGTAGCTGTCTCACACGGGGGCTTGGCAGCCTCGGGTCTGTGAGCAGTTGCCCTGCATGCCGGGCAAAGCCTTTCCTTGAGTGCCTTGTCTGCTGCCCAGACAGGGCCACTGAAAAGCAGCAGCAAGCTCTGGGCATTTGTGCGTTCCCCCAGCCAGCTCTCCTGAATCCTGAATCAGCCGGTGGTGCCCACATGCATTCGTGAGGCCTTGAATTTAAGGTCGGGATGATGGGGGAGCCTTCATCTGCCCAGTCACCAGCTATGATGCCGAAAGGCAGAGGGATGGCCTGCTCTCTTCTCTGGCTTCCCACATGTGAAAAAGGGACACTCCAGGGCGGGGGCGATGGGACCCCTCTGTGCCCAGCCTCCCCCGTCCCCGATAAACTCCAGGTCCTTCCAAACAAAGAGCTCATCTTCTGTAGGTCACAGAGTCTGCATCCTCCTCTTCCCTGCCTGATCCTTGGGTCTTGGGAACAGTCCCCAGCTCTGTGCATAGTGGTGTTGCTGGCGACCGGAATGTTCTGGTGATTTTAATTTTCTGGGCACTGATGGTTTGAGAGCTCTCACAGCCATTTTCACCCCAGGCAAATGGAGAATGGCTCTCCTAGAACAGTGAGGGTTGCTTGGTGAGTGCTGCCTGTGGCGATTTCCTGCACCCACGGCTGCCAGTCTTCCTTGCCCGTGACCCGAGCTCCTTGCCAGCGGGAGCCTTGTCCCAGACACCTCAGACCCGCCTCCGGAAGCCTTTCCAGAAGCACAGACACCTGTTTAGTGACATGACAGGGAAACTGCGGGCTGGAGATAAGGAGATAAGGAGGGCTCTGAGGATCAGTCTTCGTACCCAAACCCCTGAAATTTATTTTATTCTTAGGTCCTTAATGCAGTCTGTTGTTTTTTAAATATTATCTAAAAATGTATAATAACACGAAATAAATCTAGTTAAGATTTTTTTTTAAGTAGAAAATTTTACCCTTGTTTTTCTTTGGATCAGAGAATAAAAATAAACAATTCAAAGTATTTTGGAGGCGGTTTCTTAGAGCAACCTTCGCCATTACAGGCACACCCTGTTTGTTGCACGTTGCCTTATCGCAGTTTGCAGTGAAGGTCTGATGTGTACAAACTGAAGGTTTGTGGCAACTCTGACCAAGCAAGTCCATCAATGCCATTTTTTTAACAGCACATACTCACTCAGCATCTCTGTACCACGTTTCAATAATGCTCGCAATATTTCAAACCTTTTCATTATTTTTATGTCTGTTATGGCGGCCTGTGATCAGTAATCTTTGATGTTACTACTGTGATTGTTTGGGGGCACCAGGAACCGTGCCTGTGTAAGACAGTAAACTTAATCTGTAATTGCTGTGTGTTCTGACCGCTTTGCCAACCGGCCAGCCCACCACCTCTCCCTGCTCCTCAGGCCTTCCTATTCCCTGAGACACAATAATATTGAATAACAACTCTACAATGGCCTCTAAGTGTTCAAGTGAAAAGAAGAGTCACACATCTTTCACTTTAAATCAAAAGCTGGAAATGTTTAAGCTTAGAGAGGAAGGCGTGCCAAAACCCAACGCCGGCCAAAAGTTAGGCCATTTGTGCCAAACAGCCGACTTGTGAATGCAAAGGGAAGGTTCTTAGAGGAAATAAAATTGCTACTCTAGGGAACACACAAATGATAAGAAAGTGAGACAGCCTATTGCTGAGAAAGTTTGAGCAGTCTGGATGGAAGATCAAACCAGCTACAGCCTTCTCTAAAGCTAGAGGCTCTCCAGAACAAGGCTGTAACTCTGCAGTTCTGTGAAGGTGAGGCGAGGAAGATGCAGAAGAAAAGTGTAAAACTAACAGAAGTGGGTTTATGAGGTTTCAGGGAAGAATCTCTCCATAACTTAAAAGGACAAGGTAAAGTAGCAAGTGCTGATAGAGAGACTGTGGCAAGTTACCCAGAACCTCTAGCTAAGATCGTTAATGAAGGTAGCTACACTAAACCACAGATCTTCAATGTGGACAAAACAGCCTTCTATTGGAAGAAGATGGCATCTAGGAATTCCATAGCTGGAGAGGAGAAGTCAATATCTGGGTTCAAAGCTTCAAAGGACAGGCTGTCGCTCTTGTTCTGAGCTAATTGAGTTGGTGACTTTAAATTTAAGCCGATGCTCATTTACATTCTGGAAATTCTAAGGCCCTCAAGAATTATGCTAAATCTACTCTGCCTGTACTTTATAAATAAAAGAACAAAGCCTGGTTGACAGCACGTTTGTTTACAGCCTGGTTTAGTAAATATTTTAAGCCCACTGTTGAGACCTACTTCCCGAGGGGGAAACATTTTTCTCTTTCGTTTCTTACTGCTCATGGGCAATGCACCTGTTCACCCAAGAGCACTGCTGGAGACGCACAAGCAGGTGAGTGTGGGCTTCATGCCTGCAGACACAGCGTCCATTCTGCAGCCCATGGGTCAGGAGTAATTTTGACTTTCAAGGCTTGTTATTTAAGAAATACATTTCATGAGGCTACATCTGGCATAGAGAGTGATTCCTCTGATGGACCTGGGCATCATAAATTGAAAATCTTCTGGGACAGATTCACCGTTCCAGGTGCCAGTAAGTGCATTCGTGACTCATGGGAGGGGTTCAGAATGTCAACATTAACAAGAATCTGGAATACATTGATTCCAACCCTCGTGGACGACTTTGAGCGGTTCCAGACTTCAGAGGAGGAAGTCACTGCAGATGTGGTGGAAATAGCAAGAAACCTGGAATTAGAAATGGAGCCAGAATATGGAACGGAATTGCTGCAATCTCGGGATGAAACCCAAATGGATGAGGAGTTGCTTCTTAGCACTGAGCAAAGCAGGTGGTTTCTTGAGATGAATTCTACTCCTGGGGAAGATGCTGTGAACGTCGTTGAAATGACAACATAGGATGTAGAATATTCCATAAACCTAGGTGATAAAGCAGTGGCAGGATTTGAGAGCACTGACTCCAATTTTGAAAGAAGTTCTACTGTGGGTAAAATGCTATCAAATCGCACCATGTGCTACAGAGAAATCTTTCTTGAAAGGAAGTCTCAATCGATGTGAGAAACTTCCTTGTCTTATTTTAAGAAATTTCCACAGCCACCCAAGGCTTCAGCAACCACTACGCAGATCAGTCAGCAGCCATTGGCGTCAAGGCAAGACCCTCCGCCAGCAGAAAGATTAGGACGCCCTGAAGGCTAGGGTGATCATTCTCATTTTTTAGCAATAACATACTTTTCAATTAAGGTATATACGTTGACTTTTAGACATAACACTATTGCACATTTAATATTCCATAACTTTCTGTCAAATATTTATTTGTTTATTTAAACACCTACTCAACAATTGATTTTTGTGCCTCCCTGGGGTTAGGAGCTGTGCAGACGCTAGTGACAGACACAGTCTACTCTAGATTAACATTCTAGCAATAGAAAAATGCATGCAAGGTGTTAGTACATTATAACATTGTGTCCTAAAAATTAACAGGATATAATGGACAATGCAATTCATTTCTTATTGATGTGTAATAGATATATATAGTTTCATGGTACATGTGATAATTTAGTATATTCTTGTAATTTGTGGAGATCGAATCAGTGTGCTTGGGACATACATCACCTTAAATATTTGTCTTTATGCTAGAAACATCCAAATTATTCTCTTCTAGCTATTTTGAAGTACACAATGCATTATTGTAAACTACAGTCACCCTACTGACCTATCTAACCTTAGTTTGTATTTCTTCTGTCAAACCGTATACTTGTACCCATTACTCAGCTTTTATATTGCGCTGGGAAAAAACCAAAACATCTGTGTGAGTTGCTTGATTGCCGTGTTCACTTGGTTGCAGTTGTCTGGAACCACGTCTCCAAGGCCTGCCTGTACTCAAGTTCTAGGTCTGGATCATTGTATAAAAGTGCCTTTCAATTTTAAAATCATAGAAATTTAGGCCTGAAGGGGCTGTTAGAGTTTGTGCAGCAAGAGCCTGGGAGTCTTTTCATTCTCTTCTGCCTACCTCTGACCTGCCAGTGTGGGTGCACCAAGCCCGATGGCGGAGGACCAGCACACACGTCTTATGCACGGCCAGGCAAAGGTGCTGCCAGTTCTGAGTGAGAACTGCTTTAGACACCATCCCTGCTTTCTAGAGACACATGGGCTAACCAGGGACAGACACAGCTCACTGTGACACAGGTGGTCTTGCATGCCTGGGAATGTTCAGTGAGACCAAGAAGGAGTGAGTAAATAGTCGGGCTGGACTTCAAAGTCAATACCTTTTTTAAACTTTTATTTTTGTTTATTTTTATAGATAGAGGGGTACAAGCGTGGTTTTGTGACATGAATATATTGCATGGTGGTGAAGTCTGGGCTTTTAGTGTGACCGTCACCTGCGTATTGTACATTGTACCTGTCAGGTAACTCATCCAGCTGTTTCATCTCAGAAATTACAGTATTTGCCAGGGAATCACAGACAGTCAAGTTTGAAATGATCACAGGCTACTGTGTTCAGGTAGAAGATGATATGATGCTACAGATTGCTAAAAGTGTATTCTGTGATACTAATTGTTGAGTGCTAACTGCATGCACAGCTCTCTTTCAGACACAATGTTTAGGGACAAGGAGATGGTTCCCTGCCTTGGAAACATGTATGATGTCACCTGTGCAACATAGACAGACACAGATGCACACATGCGCTGGAAGTTCAGGGACATGCACAGGAGGGTCCAGGGAGGCGGGTGCACTGCGGGAGAAGCCCCAGGGACATGAGCACCCGAAGAAGCCTCCTGAGCTGCAGGTGGGTCCAGGGAGGCAGGTGCACTGCGGGAGAAGCCCCAGGGACATGGGCACCTGGAGAAGCCTCCTGAGCTGCAGGTGACATGCAAGGAAGAGTCCAGGGAGGCAGGTGCATTGTGAGAGAAGCCCCAGGGACATGAGCACCCAAAGAAGCCTCCTGAGCTGCAGGTGACATGGAAGGGAAGGTCCAGGGAGGCCGGTGCATTGTGAGAGAAGCCCCAGGGACATGAGCACCCGAGAAAAGCCTCCTGAGCTGCAGGTGACATGCAAGGAAGGGTCCAGGGAGGCAGGTGCATTGTGAGAGAAGCCCCAGGGACATGAGCTCCCGAGAGAAGCCTCCTGAGCTGTAGGTGACATGCAAGGAAGGGTCCAGGGAGGTGGTGCACTGCAGGAGAAGTCCCAGGTACATGGGCATCCTGGAGAAGCCTCCTGAGCTGCAGGTGAGGTTTTCCCGTGCAACCTCTGCTAATGTTACTCAGCAGGAGACAGAGACTTGAGTCTGGGATGGCAAACAGAATGTTGGCAATATCAGTCTTATTTTCCTTCATGCCACTTATAAATGCATTACACTAAGCATGTTGACTTTAATAAATGGCTTGGACATAAAAATTTCAAATTTGACAATATTTTGAAAAAATGGAGGTTAGAATACATTTATTTAGTCCCAGCTTTGGCCCTAGCTAGAAGTAGGGCCTGGGACAAGGCACTTCACCGTCCCCCATCTTATCCTGGGTATTTTCATATGTGTAAAGTACAGATGAGCACCAGGATTCTTCCAGGTCTAGTCCACATTCTGCATTCTTCAGTTGCCATGTGATGTTTTACTTTACACAAGGGATCATCACTTTTCCTCAGAGGCCAGATTATTTTTCTGCATGTAAAGCCCAGGGCTGGGTTTATCTTTACTCTTGCTGGTGAGGCACCTGTATGTTGTCTTTCCACTGCTGTACAGTTTCTGCCTGTGTAGACAGTTTCTTCCCAGGTAGATTGCACCAGCTCCTCAGAAGACAGATAAATCCTCTGAGGTTTCATCTCCCATATGCTCCATCTTACAATACAGCTCACGGGGGCCAGTCTTTAAATGCTTGCTGGAAAATGTTACTACCTATGAAATAAAAAGGCAATAAGTAATAGGGCAAATGACTGAAAAGATGTAAATAAGATCACTTGCTACACGCCAATGGATGGCACCCGGTCTTGTTCTATCTAAATGTATAATTCATAATTAGATATGACGGCTTTGCCTTCATGGAAGCCCTCTCTATTGTATCCTCATATTCACAGCCTCCACACCACGCGTGGCTGCACTGTAGACAGAGGACCATGTCCCATGCGGGAAGGGAGCTGATTCAAAGAATGTGCAGCCTCTTTATGTGAGCACAAATGTGTCTTGGTGCTCTGAGAGCCCTAAAGGAGGTGTGTGAGGATCAGAGGGATGGAGAGGAGGCGTGGTTCCATTCTCTGCAGGTAACCAGGGGCTTCCCAAGGGAGGAGACCCTCCCACTGACATTTGAACTGCATTGAGCTGCAGAATTGACTGGGAGGAGGTTGTGCGATTCCAGGCTGAGGGAGGACCTTACATGAAGACACGGAGGCGTGAGAAAACACCCCATGTCCACAAATCCATGCCAGTCCATCAGAAGCTTCCCTGAGTACTCAGATGTACCAGATGCTGGACTGCGACCCCGGAGGTCATAGGCCTGTCTCCGCTCTCCAGAAGGGACTTTCGGATCCAGACGGTCTAAGAGGTCACAGGCCTGTCTCTGGTCTCCAAGAGTGACGTTCAGATCCAGACGGTCTGAGAGGTCACAGGCCTGTCTCCGCTCTCCAGGAGGGACTTTCGGATCCAGACGGTCTGCGTTTGGTCTTCTCCGAAGGAGCAGATGTTCATCCCTGGCTGTATATTACGGCCTGTGGACCAGGGAACCCAGGAGCACGATCTGGAGAGAGCAGCTCCGCACAGCTTCTCCAACTCTCCACCTTAACGTAGTGTCCGGCCTTCTCGTGTCGGGTTTCGTTGTGTGTTTTTCACAGCTATGAGATGATCTGACACCTGTTGATTGTTGATGTCATCATGCCTTCTATTCGCATCTATCAAACACTGAGACGCTGGCATCCCCAGAGGGACTCAAGCTCCCCACCATTTCTTACTCATCTCTTTTTTGTGTCTGACGTTTTATAATTTATGAGACTGACCTATTTCTAAATGAAATCCATGAGGAACCCTCTTACAGTAAGAGCTGTTGAAGGAAACCCCGGAGAATCCTACAGAGAATTCTAGAATGAGGGGCCTCTGCAGTCGGGTGGCCGACAGAGCCCCCACCTCTCCCAGTGAACAGCCCCCGTGGAAAGAGGATCACGAGTGTGGAAAGCAGGCAGCACAGAGTGGCTCTGATGAGGGCGGCAGCTCCTGGAGCCCCGGCCGGCTTGCCCAGAGTCCCGTGAGACACCTCTTGAAGGCCCCACAATTCCAGAAAACATAGCTGAGGCCCCTTGAGGATCTGATGAGCCCCTTCCTATGACAAATGAGTCACCTGACACCTGAAGTGACAAAGCGACTCTACCTGGGTTCCGTCTGCAGCGGCCACCTCCTCTTCCTCTGGCTCCCTCAGCAAGTTTTCTACACAGACATGAAGGAAGCAATATTGTGTTTCTCTAAAACAGAAATAAAGTATTCTGCAACTCAGATCTTAGACACAAGTGCGGTGACCAGGCATAGCTGCATTTGAAGATACTCCAGCAGAAACGCATGCATTTTCCAGTGGTTGAGGAGGGGAAGCGTTGGGGGCATGCGTGAGCTTCCCTCTGCCTTATCAGACACTCCCTGCTTGGGGCCTGGCTGGAAATGGGTTGGAGCCTTTTCAGCAAAACAGCTCATCGTTCACCTTAAATGAGTGATGTGGTCATTAAAACAAAACAAACAATAAATGACGCACTAAGGACCTATTGTGTGCACTGCAGGATGGTTTTCTCTTGTGCTCCCTGGAGACTGGGCGGCTTCTGAGGAATCAGCAGAGAGAAATAAATGTTCAGCAACCTTCATCTCAGAAGCTGGTGCCAGGGAGGTAGGAAGAGCTGCCCACTGCTGCACCTCTGTAGTTCATAGATGGCAGGTAGATTGATAGATTATAGATGATAGCGATAGACAGATGATAGCTGATAGATGATCAGATAGATAGATAGATAGATAGATAGATAGATAGATAGATAGATAGATAGATAGATGATAGATAGATGATAGGTGATTGATAGGTGGGGAGAGGGAGAGATGATAGAGTGGGGAAGATTTATAGAAAGATGACAGAGGTAGGTGAGTGGGAGCTAAACTATGAAGATGCAAAGGCGTAAGGATGATCTAATGACCTTTGGGAACCCCGAGCAGGAGGTTGGGAGAGTGGGGGAGAGGGGAGGGATAAAAGGCTACATATTGGGTACAGCATATACTACTTAGATAATGGTCCACTAAAATCCCAGAAATCAGCATGAAAGAACTTATCCATGTAACCAAAACCACTCGTACCCCAAGAACTATTGAATTTTTTTAAAACTTTCAAAAAAAGATGACGGAGTATATGGATGATAGATGAGATGATAGGTGCATAGATGATAGATGAATAGATGTGCACCCACATCTCTTGGCCTCACACTCAAGCCACATGCCCAGTGAACCCTATCTCAATGGAGCAGGTGCTTGCTGTGACATGCAGCACCCCTCCCTGAGACCCGTGCTCTGCCATACACCTCTGGTTAGAAACTGGACTGGGCATGACCAGTGTCCCAGTCACATGAGGCATCCTCATGGCCCTGAAGACCCCTTCCTGCTTACACAGAGTCATGGGCTGCAGACAGATGGGACGGAGACACTGAATTAGAGAACACAGACTCTAGAAAGAGGAAGCACAATGGATATTTTGAACTTGTCCTCAAGACACATTTCCTGTAAGATTCTACCCCATTTCCATTTGAAACGTGGGTTTTTTTTTCTTTTCACTAGATTACTGTGTGAGAAGAATTGCCTGTCCAAAACCAGTATTGCCTGTCACAAGAAAATCTTATATCTCTTGTCAACTGAGTTTAGAAAGAAGATAGATAATGATGATGATGATAATAGATAGATAGATAGATAGATAGATAGATAGATAGATAGATAGATAGATAGATGATTGATGATAGATGATTGGTGATAGAAGATAGATAGAATAGGATAGGATAGATAGAATAGGATAGATAGATAGAATAGGATAGATAGTCAGATAGTTAGGTAGATAGACAGCTAGGTAGATAGGCAGATAGATAGATGGTAAGATAGGTAGATAGATAGAAAGATTAGATATATAGATAGGTAGATAGAAAGGTAGATAAATCATAGGTAGGTAGATACGAAGATAAATGGATAGATGATAGATAGATAGATAGATAGATAGATAGATAGATAGATAGATAGATAGATAGTACTAGGGATGATGAAGATCTACAGCTTGGAACATCGTATTCCATGACAAATATAACAAAAGCGGTCATATTAAGCTCTATTAAATACACAACCCAAGCTATATTTCCACACGTGGTGACTTTACAGTGGGGCAGCATGCACAATTAAGAAATCTCATGAGCTTTCCTTGGACAAGTATTTCTAATGGTCATTTGGAAAGTACATAAATAGGATACGAATAGCTGTGTCCAGCCAAGATATTATCAAACACCACATAGGCACCCCAGGACAGATGGGTTCAGTTACAAGGTTATGCTTCAACAAAATGTGCAGACACGACAACTTGTAACTGTCCATTACCACAGAAATTAAAATTGGGGAGATACCATGCAGCAAACATTCTTAATCCTCTTTATAATAACCAGGTTTTAAGGTTTATTATTTGTAGCCTGATGCCCATTAAACTGTTGAGCAACTTTGGAAATCTATGTGGAGCAACAGCTGGTATTTTGCTTGCAATAACTTGCTAGAAAATGCATATTTAATAAGCTTAATGATCTCTCTAGAGAGGCATATTTTGCCTGCATAGAGTGTAGTGTGGTGTGTATGTATAATATTTTACATATAATATATTTATATATGATTGTAGGCATGATCATAATTCTTTGAGCTAAGAGTGTTCAGATGTATATCTCCATCACCAAACTAAAAAGAGAAACATCTAATCATTCAAGTACCAGAATTTTACATATTTCACAACTGAATAATTTCTTACCAACCACACCAAGACAAAGTCCTCTGTCCTGAACATCTAAGAAGGGGCATCTTTAGCCTTTTTTTTTTTTTTCTGTATTTTCTTATAACTTTTCCCTGGTGCAAACACATAGCAGGTAGAATCATACTTTTTTTTTTTTTTTTTTGAGGTGGAGTCTCTGTCTGTACCCCAAGCTGGAGTGCAGTGGCCTGATCTTGGCTCTGCCTCCTAGGTTTAAGAGATTCTCCTGCCTCAGCCTCCTGAGTAGCTGGGATTACAGGTGCACACCACCGTGCCCGGCTAATTTCCTTCCTTCCCTCCCTTCCTTCCTTCCTTCCTTCCTTCCTTCCTTCCTTCCTTCCTTCCTTCCTTCCTTCTTCCTTCCCTTCCTTTCTTCCTTCCTTCCTTCTTTCCTTCCTTCTTTCCTTTTCTTTCTTTCTTTATTTCTTTTCTCTCTCTTTCTCTTTCTTTCCTTCTTTTTTTATTAAGTAGAGACCAAGTTTGGCCTGGCTGGCCTCAAACTTCTGATCTCCGGTGATCCACTCCCAAAGTGCTGGGATTACAGGCATGAGCCACTGCACTCGGCCAGAATCATACATGTTTATAAAGCTTGTTTCTCACTTTTTCAAATCAATTGTAATTACTGTCATTCAAGGTGGTGGTACTGCTGTAACTTCAGGGGTCCCTGGAAAAGAGAACGGCACCTGTGCCGTCTTTGAGGACTCCTGACAGTGGAAGGTAGAGCAGCCACTTGCTGCTGATGTTGTCACAGTGATTGCTGTGAACACAGCACACGAAGCAGAGAATCTCTTCATGGGTGCACTAAGTGCAGTCTCATCATCTGTACTGCTATGCTAACGTTCGATGTGTCCTAGCGCCTTCCTGACGTAGAGCACTGGTGTGGACGTATGCGTGGTCACAAAGACCACACTGAAAATGTCACTGGGACAGACTGACTGCAGGTGTGGTGTTTGTTTTCCGCAGTTTCCTCTCTGGACACGTTCCTCTACGTGACCGTGGCTGGGGCGTCTAACAGGCAGTGGCCGTGGCCAGGACATCTAACAGGCAGCGGCCGTGGCTGGGATGTCTAACAGACAGTGGCCGTGGCCGTGGCGTCTAACGGGCAGTGAGTGCCAGCAGCAGTGGCTGCTCAGGCTCCCATTTGCAGTGTGTTTTCTGACTCACAGTGACTTCAGCGTTTGTGTTGGCCTGGCAGGGGAGGTGCTTGCTTAGAGGGTGGAATGTCCAGCTCGGCACGACCTGAGGCTTTGACTTTGTGCATGCCACTTTATTTTCTAGGTGAAAAGATGGATTAGGTGATTTTCAAGCTTTATCCCTCCACCAGATTTCTCCTGTCCTGAGGGTGTTGCACTAGTAAGTAGAGTCCCAGTCACTAGCTTGTAGCAAGTGGGACACTCCAGGGAGCCCCGTCAACCTTCTGAGGTCTTTCACTAAAATGGAACATCACTTGGAGCACCCTGGTAACCCGAGTATATTCATACAGCAGCTGAGTTCGCCAGTCTCACTGCCACGAGGTAGATGGTTAGAATACTTCTGTGGTAACATTATCAACATTCTAGTCTTGCAGGTGGCAAGGGCAGTGAGTTTTGTTTTGACAGGAAAGAGGCAGTATGATTTCCTGAAAAGCAGGTGCTGATAGAAACACACCTAAGCACTGGCAGACCAGTCAATCCACTCAGTCAGTGGAAACAAGGTACTGAACACCCACACCTTTGCTTCGCACCATGGGACTTGGATGAATTAATTAGATGGCAAAGGCTCTAAACCAAAAAGAAAACAGCTAAACTGAGGCAATAGGATAAGCACACACGGAAAATCAAGAGCACCGGGAGGCGGTTGACACTTAGATGGTAAATGTCCAGCGACACAGAGTTGCTAATGCCACAGGACCCTGAATTCCAGGATGAGCAGGAATGACACCGTGGTGAAGGGGACTTGAGATGAGTCTTAAAGGATCAGTAGGAGAGAACATTCCAGCAAGAAGAATCATAATGAGCATAGAGCTCTGGGGTGAGAATGATGGAAAATGGGCAGCAATCGGGAAGGGCGAAGGTGGACA